AAAAAAAAATCGATAACAAAGTGTTAAGAGAACCATGCACGCAGCAAAACTTCCATTACTACAGCTCCCTTGACTCAACTCAGCTTCTGCAAACCTGCAGCCAGTAAGAAATTTTTTCAGAAAGACCGCATAGCAATTACCAAAAAGTAAGCTACCGAAAATCAGTTCCACTTTAATAGTCTACTTGATCTGCCAGGTCTATATTGGATGGTAACATTTTTCTTTCTTTCGAACTTCCTCTCCATTTTCTATTTTAAAAAAGCCATCTAAAAAACTGTTAGTCCAACCAACGTGAATAAAGAAAGAAAGTGACCGAATACATATAGCGCTAAAGACTTTGTAAAGATAGTTTGCGAAAATAGGACAAAACCAGTTCTGGCAGATAAACTTCATGTCAAAATCCTGAGCTATCAATACATTGCTAGAGGACACTCCAGAAAACTTAAAAAAGACTACGACACCTCAAGATAGGAAAGTAAAAGAAACAGTGAATGACCTCATTTTCAAAATCAAAATGGCGGCCTTTAGCCCAAGAGTGCTCGCAATTTTCTTCATTTTCACTTTATTTTTTTCTAGCTTTCCTTCCTCGAGACTCAAATCACTACAAGTTCACAGCCATTCTTTGGGAAATTAGAGAGCATGAGCAAATCACTCCGGTGTTCTCACTTACTTCAACATTTGATTCAATTGATTCAATTCTTGAACAATCAATTTAAAACAGTTGTACTGTTATTAAATTCCAAGCACTATTAGAGACAAATTTCAAGGGTATCCCGAAAGCTTTCCTGTTACCGTAAGTCACCAAAAGATTATAATTATATCAACAAAAGAAATTAAAATAGCTTATGCGCTAAAGGAAATAAAGACAACATTGATTTGACATTCTTACCTAACAAAAACTACTTATTTACTCCGCAGAACTTCTAATAGAAAAATATAGTTTCAAGACAGCACTGTGCAGCTAGCATTATTTTCTACAATGACCATACAATGACTTCAAATGCATGTAATTTTTTCTATCTTTTTCAGAAACAGAAGGTTTAACTATCTGCATTGCAGAAAGAAAATGTTCCTTGTCTACAGCCATGAGATTTACATTTCCATCTGCTATTCTCTGCTTCAGAGCTATAATGCTTGCTTCATGCACTAAAGCAGCGAGGTCTGCCCCTCTGAAAAACTATCTTAAGTCCTTTCACAAATAAAGACGTATAATCTCGCTTTCTAAAAAACATTGAAGTTAAAAGCGCCAAAACTTACGTGAACCATTCTAATGCTGGATTTGAAGCAATTTCAGAAAAGGAAACATCCGGCGATATGTGCGGCCTCGTGCGACTTAAGGTTAACTTCTCCAAAATATCCGCTTTGTCGGCAACATCCGGAAAATCGACAAAAAGAATCTTATCAAGACGGCCAGGGCGCAATATAGCTGGATCCACAATATCTTAAAAAACTGTGGTTGCATAAGAGCATTAAAATCAATTTCAAGAGTTTCAGTAAAATTTTTGATGCATGTCCTCACTTCTCCGAAAGAATTATATAGAGTTGTTAAACCGAACCCCGTAAACTTAAAACAACAGCCAGTGCCCGACCTTAAGATATTTAAGGAAAAATGGATTTACCTGGACGATTAGTTGCTCCTATAAGGAATACTTGCTTACGGCTATTAACTCCATCCATTTCTGTCAAGAGCTGATTGACTAGTCGAGCGCTTCCCGATGTCTAAAATACTCAACAGTAAAATTTCTCAAGTCCTTTTGAAAATTGGGATAGCTTGCTCAAAAGAGCAAATTTGATTTTTCTGTACCCAAAACAACCAAACATGGTTATGTGTAAAAAAAGAAGGAGCAGTAACTTTACCTCATTGCTCGAACGCTTAGGACAAAGAGCATCAATTTCGTCAAAAAAAATAACGCAGGGAGAGGAATCTCGAGCACGTTGGAAGACAGTTCTGACGGCTCTTTCACTTTCACCCACATACTAAAACTAACAAAATTTATACGGCGTTGAATAAAAGCTATTTTTTAAATAAAGAAGTTTCAGTCTTAGATACTGATGAAGAAAATCAAAAATAATGAAATGAATACCATGCTAAGCAGTTCTGGGCCCTTCACACTAATAAAGTTCATACCAGTTTCATTCGCAACTGCTTTGGCAAGTAAAGTTTTGCCACATCCTGGAGGACCACACAACAAAACGCCCTGCGGCTGGTTATTAAGACCAATAACTTCAAAATCTTCAGGCCTTTTAATAGGGTACTGAAACAATTACGTTAGCAGCCTGACAAATAGAAATTAAAACAAAATCAATATCTCAGTAAAAAAGACTAAACCTGACAAATTTTTTGTAATAAGGTACCTTGACAGGTAAGTACCGCCCCAACTTT